ACCAAAGGACTCAAGACATGGATTACCATCTCATGGAAGATAGACAAGGACCTTGCTAGAATGTAAGAGAGGAGAAGTCTTTGTCTCTTTCTCCCCACCTCCTCAAAACCATTCCTTCTTCAAAAAAAGAGGGAGATAGAATTGTACAGTGTGAAGGGGCCATTTATGGCATAAAGTCCAATCCCCAGCTCCATGCAGGAATTAAAGCAAACCTGACCAAGGGGACACATCAGGAGAAGATGTCAGCCCTTCAAGGTAGTCCAGACTAGGAAACCAAAACCATGAGTACTAACACTACCTTTATTGTAAGGTTACAGTAGTAGAACCTTGCAAGTCTGAAAGCACTTCCCTCTTCCCCTGCCTTTACTTTCCAGAGAACGAGGGAGGGTCCCTTCTGAGATGCTTTCTCCACCCCCATTCCTGCTTTGGGCTCTTCTCTTATCAGATCGTTGTTGAGGCTGTAGCCCTTTCTCCTGTCTCTCAAGGTGGTTCTCACAGCCCATTACAGAAGGGGAGCCACTAACTCTCCGGGTCATTGGTCCTACTGTTAGAAAGCCTTCTCCTAATGCTCCACCATGGATTTGTCACCCTAGCAAGAAGTGAAATAGGACTTGGAACCCATTTCCTTGATGGTAGCACAGCACCAGTGTAGATTTGGTATATGGCTACTCACTCCTATGAGCTGTGTTGGTTGGGGCTTTATGTGCTGGCAGCACCTTGATGCTTTTTTATGCCTGTGGCTTTTTTCCATGTCACTCCCTAGCAATAGGTCCCTCTTGATAAGATGAAATTCATTAAATTAATGCTGAATTATGCCACCTATGCATTTTAGGAATGAGGTCATCCCCAAATCCAAGAAAAGGCATAGGAAAGGATGGTCTCCTACCCAAGTACTATCCAAATCCCACCCCCCTTAGCTTTTTCAAGCTTAGCCAAGGCTGGCTAATTTGGCATGTCATTTGAACCAGTCCACTGCGTATGTGCAGTCCTACAGCAAAGGCCTGAGCAGTGGTTCAGGGCCAGGATATCAAAGGCTTCCTTCATAGCCCCGGAGCTAGAAGCCTACTCTGGTTAAGACCGGGCAAGTGTGACTGAGCAGGACAAAGCAGATTTCCTTGTGGCTTAGTGGAGACAGGTGAGTCATTGCTGGGAAGAGCAGGAGGAGACACTGCCAGCAGGCTAAATGTTTTAGAAATGGGCCACACTTTAGTGGTACCGTGCCTACATTGCAAGCTTTAAGTGCGGCCAGGTATGACACATTGTCCTTCCAGCTATGCAGCAGTCTGCAACCACCGGTGCCCTGAGAGTTTAAGCAGAGCCAGGCCAGGCCTTCACAGGCCACAAATGTGTACACCTATGCATGTGCATAAGTGTGTGTGGTTGCACATGTGTAAATCTCACATACCATTGGCACGGGAATGCAGGAAGATCTCGCTGATTCCCTGGAAGGATATGGGAGGCCTCTTTTGGGTGCCTTTTCTGTCTGTGAAGCCATCCCAAAGAGCTTGATTGGCTAACTGTGGAGACCAAGAAAGCAAGAAAAGATGACCATCCCTGAACTACAAGGATCAGGTAGACAGGAACAAACCAAATATAGCCATCCAACTCTGATTAACTTTTAAGTCAATAAAATGCATTGAACTGAAATTTGGTTACACCGTCTCTGGTGAATCAAAGAACCATAGAATATAAGAGTTGTAAGGGACTATGGAGATCATCTACTCCAACTAGTTCAAGAATCCATTTTTAGCCTCCTTGTCAGACGGCCATTCTATCACGGTGGCAACACCCCATCAAAGGAATATTGCCCAACTCCCAAGGTAGTGTTAGAAAATTCTTCCTGATGTCCAACCGAACTCTGATTAAACTGCTGTTCTTATTCTATCTTCTGGAATCATTCTGGACGTTTCTGCCCTGTCTTTTAATGACAGCCCCTCACATATATGAAAACAGCTATCATGTCTCCCAGCAAACTTCTAATCTCTAGGCTAAACATACCCAGTGCTTCCAACTGTTCCTTGTACATTTTTCCCTGAAAGCCCTGATCATCTTAAGTGTTCTCCTTTGGACATGTTCTAGTTGGTTGAGGTCCTGCCAAAGTGCAGTGCCCAGAATTGGATGCAATAGCCTAGGCGCAGTCTAACCACCACAGAAAAGGGAGGAATTCTGAGTTTTCTTGATCTTTATACTATCATGTCATTACCTCCAGTCCTGGCTCATGCATTTCCCTGGAATCATTTAATTGGTCATTGTTGGAAATTTCTTGAATTGGAGAGACCTTTAGTCTGAACTAGCAAGAGTGGTATGCAGTAATTACTTGATAAGGCAGGAGGAGGGAAATAGACAAATCACTGTTGGCTATCAACTGAATATAGAGGGATGTTTGGCTTTTAATTGTGGTGGGAAAATTGAAACAAGGGCTCCTTAAAGCTTAGGGTAATTTAATAGTGGTGAGAGAGAGAGAGAGAGAGAGAGAGAACAGTCTGTTAAACTGGGGACATATGGCATAGCTACATTCATACTCCATGCTTAAACTATTTATTAAATAAATCTGGTTTTGCACAACACCTCAAGGGTAAACCAGATTTGTACAAGATGCTAAGCCACAACAATAAACTGACCTTTGCATGCACAAATGCACTTGGTCTTTCCTTAACTTGATTATGTGAATCTAAGCACTATCTTGCAATATTCAGATGCAGGGAAGGCACCCTTGTGCCCATTTAAACTGAGAATCAATCCCATTGAAGTCAGTGGGTCTTACTTTCAAGTAATGCTGTTAAGGGCTTATTTCAGCATTGGGTAGGACTCCCAGGAATTATTTTCTGCCCCTATAATATTACAATTTTGCATTTCTCCCCTCCTTTCCCCTAAGTCAATCAGCCACACGGCCCAAATTTCTGCTCGTGAATTCCCTGCTTCTGCATTACTTTCTTTATCTCCAGGTGCTTTAATGGAATCCATTTTTAGCAAACATGTGATGCTAGAAGGCCTAGAAGCAAAAAGAAAAAGAAAGGAGAAGTGGAGGATTTATCAGCTGCATGATAAATTAATCATCCCATTAGTCACAGATGGCAGGAGCTGGCCAAGGTCATCTGAGCATCTCTACCGAGTTGCTTAGAGTTCTAGTACTCAGCCTCTAGAATTATTTTAGATTGGAACAGAATGGGTACCAAGCCGTCTTCTTCATGTTTCTAATGAAATGAAAAGCAAAGCTCTCTTCTCCAGGGTCATCTTTATTTACCAGAAGGCTTCAGCTTCACAAGCTGAATGAATTTCAGAATGAAGGCTGACTGCAGTCGCTTTACTAGGAAGTGAGCCCATCTGCCCAGAATAAGAGACAGATGGAAGCTGAGAATGGTGTAGGGTATTTTGGAGAGGGAGGTGAGAGTCAGTGGAGAGCAATCTGAATGGTTTAACTTTCTGGAAATTGATGTTCTGTGATTGGCTATGCCCATGCTGATAGCCCTCTGTGTGAATGCCTGCAGCATATTCCCAAAATTTCAAAGATGTTTATGGGGTCTAAAATCTCCCCTCCCCTAAAGATAATATTTATGATCTCCCATGGCTGCCCTAGTGTAACCTGATGGTGTTACAACCCAGGTTTGGGTTATTTTTGCAGGCGAGCACATTTGCGAACAAGTGTCTCGTCATTGGTCGTTTTCTGGTGAATCTCATTTTATTTATTTGTTAGTTTTATATTTCTGTAGAAGCTTCTAGCCCCACAACACCACATTGGTGAGATGGGTTGGGCTGTTGGGAGGGGCTGGCCCAAAGTCCCCCAGACAGCTTCTGTGGCTAAAGGGGGACTAGAACATGGATCACCCTACTTCCAGTCCAGCACTTTCGTGAAACAACCCCATCTTTAAAAGCTTCTGAAATATCAACAAGGAGGAGACCAGACTATCTCAACTAGGGGCTATTCCACAGCTTCGGCTCTGTCACTGGAAAGCAGTGCTTACTCACCTCAGCCCTCTCACCCTCCTGAAAATGTGGGATCCTTAAGTTTCTCCCTGTTGGATCTGATCAACCAGGCTGGTACTGGTTGGAGTAGTCAATCCTGCAGATGTTTTTAATTGTAGAAATGACCATTCAGCCCAGGGATGATTGAATTGGGTTGACTTCAAAACTCATGGGAAACTGGTATCATGGGTGCCAACTTGAAAGACAAGGTCTGTGTGACTGACGATGTTCAGATTCGTGCACTCAAATGTATCATACTGGGCTGTATCAGGGACACATATGGGGCACTGATGCTGTGAGGTGGGAATCCAAGGACAAGTAAAAACTGGAGCTTTGGGAGGCTGAAGAAATGAAGGAGGTGACCTGGGGGTACCCTTTAGAGCCCTGTTTTCTTGATGTTTGCTCTCTTTCCAAACTACTTGGCAGAATAGAACTGATTTTAAAAAATGGTAAATTCACCTGTTTCAAATCATACCTTTATCCCTCAAACACATGCTGTATAAACTCTGCTCCTGGATATTTCTCCTTTTCATCTACTTGGACTCTGGAAGTATGAAGGGGATGTTGCAGTTGGCTCTCGTTGTCCCTGCTGTGGGACGGCCACATGGGTAACATCCACACATAGCTGGGCAACATTGGCAAGCTAAACATAATCTCAAAGTTGCAGAAGTTCAAGGACCTTTAGATCAGTGCTTCTCAATCTCAGCAACTTTAAGATGTGTGGACTTCAGCTCCCAGAATTCTGGGAGCCGAAGTCCACACATCTTAAAGTTGTTGAGGTTCAGAAACACTGCTTTAGATGATAAAACACAGAGGCAGAAATAACTCCCTAGACAGCCCAGGGAAGGCAGATTAGATTCTGCATTCATGGAGTATCCTAGAAAAAGAACATAGCTGGATCTTGGACACGCTGCCATCTTTGGGTTGAGGATTTGCCTGATTATACATTGTCCTTTCCAGAAAGCTTACAAAGGCTTCTCATCATGACATCTACCATGGTTGTTTTACTTTCCTTCCTTCCTCTCTTTATTAGGAAACTTCTCAAAGACTGCTGCAACCCAAGCCATCTCTTTACAATGACGAAAGAAAATTCGCCGGTCGGAAAGAGAGTCTGGTACGATGGCGAATTTCTGTACTACTTAACAATTGACAACGAAACCTTCTCATTGTTTCCAAAGGTTAGTGACCTGGATGTGCTCTTGTGGGAAAAGCCTCCGCCTCCTCCTCTTCCTCCATATGGCAGCATCTTCACAAACATTTCCTGAGGAGGGAAACTAATATACAACTAGTGTCTGAGAACTGGTTACAGTTTAGCTCCTTTGTCCTACAACTGGCTCATGCTGCATTAACAACACTTCTTTTTTCTTCTTCGGACCCTTTTTATTATGTTTGCTAAATTGTAATCCACACCCATCATTTGAGTTATCTTGAGAATACTGTCAGAAAAGTTAGTTTGCACATCCCACTACGCTATGTGTACATTTAAGTGTGGCTTGTTGAACAAATCACAGTTGTCAGGGTTGCAAATCATGGCTTATTTAATTATGGCTTGCTGAGTAAACCATCACTGGTATCACACTGAGCTACAAATCATGATTTATGTACCACAATGGATGGTTTCAAACCAAACCATGTCAGTAAATAAACAGCTGTTTTGGAAGGCAGGTTGGTTACAAACTTAATAGCTCTACTCAATGTGCAAGGCTTGAGAGTGTGTTAACCTTGGAGGTTTGGGTGTGGGTGTTCACATTTTGTGCAAACCTAGCTTGCTCAGTTATTTTATGGCTCACTCAATTTCTAACTCAGGTTAATTCAGGTTAAGCTTGTTATGTCAGTGCAACTAATCACTGTTTTCTGCTCAGTGTTGGAGGAACGTGATCTAGGATTTTAGTATCAAATAATAAATGAACTGGCAAGCCCAAGACTGCTTCTGCTCACTGGCACTCTCATAAAAAATATGGAACCATATTATATTAATAATACTGGCAAAACTTGTCTAAGTTCAAAAGCAAAGCAGGTTCAGAAGGTTTAATACTTGAATGGAGACCACCAAAAGATCTTAAAGATATGAATTAGACTGGGAACTTGAAAGCCATCCTGCAGAAGAAAGCATGTTATATTGTTACCAGCAAAACAACACATCCTGCTCCATATAATAAATGATGTTGAGGATCCTTTTCGTTATAGTGAAAATCAGAAAATTTCCTTCTGAATCCCTAGCTTCTACTAAAGAAATATTCCTGCCCCCACCCCTGGCCATCTTCTCAACAGCTACTGTGTAAAAATGATCTCAAATTGTGATTTTGGCTTTTGACATACCATCTCTGACCATGGGAACAACAGTGAAAATACAAGATGGCATGTAATAAGGAATGACACAGATTATCATCCCCTCCTGATTAATCAGCTGAGATTTGTCATTAATCTGTCAGTACAAAGTATATTATACTTACCCTGTTATAGTCATAGTATCTGCCTCTTAGATGGATGGGTGCTATTACTGTCATATTGTACATGGTTGGTAGAATAAAAGTCATCTAACCATGCAAAGATCAGATGGACGCCATGGACAGGTGACCATTTACTAAATACAGCAAGGATGCATGTGGAAAAAAAAATTCTCTTTTACCCTCCATCTTCTGTTCCCAATTAGTAAATGATCACATGACTGTACCGCATTCAGCTGACTCTGTAGAATTAATCATCCTCAGCAGTAGGACAGTATGGGGGACTGTGCCAGTTACTGATTAATAGTGATTTATGGTTGTGTTCTCACAATGTCATCCCAATACTGTTTCCAGCTACTTTGGAAAAAGTGCTGGATCATGGCCATTTTCCTTGGGTGCCATGGGAAAAATTTCTGACTTGCATGAGGTTTCAAGGGACCATGAGAAATGCTGGTTTGAGTATGGAGAAGGCTAACATTCTGTCAGCTTCACTGTGTAGACCACACCAAAAAATCTACTCCATCAGAAGGCTAAAACTACTTTGATTAATATTGACTATAGTAAGAGAATCATGCAAATCTAACTGTGTTTTACTCCTCCTCACCCCCTTACACTCATATGAATTAGGGAGGTGTCTGCCTGACCACTTGCACGTGCCTTCTTCTGGTTTTGGACTTAAGTTTTGTTTTTCTCCTTGTCACTTTGGTAACAGACCTGGCCTGTCTCTAACAAGGTCATCTTCCTTACCCTCTGCATGTTCCATGGTTGAGCTCTCTTCTTTCTTGCTGTTGTTGTCACTGCTGTCCACTCCTATTTCCTCTTGTTGTAACTATAATTGGCCAGAAAGAGGAGAGCAGAAAGGACATCCCTTTGCCAGTTCAGTTTAATGTGTGGGTGGACACGTGTAGGCAAGTAAAAAATGTTCTTACCCTTGGACAAATACAGGTATTTGTAGTGTCCCTTGACAGACGGGTAGCTGGCAGTTGGTTTGTTTATGAGACTTACAGTACATGGTCACCCATTTTATGTGCCATAACTGGGAGGTTCACAGCAGCAGTGATAAGAACATAAAAAACAATAAAAACCACCATCCAAGAAAACAGCTCCCAGCACCCTAAAACAACACTCCCAATGCATAAAAAGAATCACAACCACAAGACTGCAGCCTCACTGTATCCCAACACCTGGGGGGAAAGCCAGCTTATTTATTTATTTATTTATTTATTCATTTAATTTATTCAGTTTATATAGCCGCCCGTTGCACATACATGACTTTGGGCAGCTGACACAGTTAAAAATAACAAGAAACAAATGCAAATAAGTGAGCATAACAACAAAACCATTAAAAAGTTTTTTTTTCATTGTTATTATTATTATTTTTTTTGAAGGCCTGCCAGAAGGCTAAAAGGGTGGGGCCCACAATCTCAGGGGGAGGATGTTCTCCTGCCTGTGCTGATTCCATGATGCTGGAGCTACCACGGATGAAAGAGAATTTCTTCTCACCTCAGGAGGATAATCTCTGCATTGGGCAGGGGCTAAACCCCTAAACGATCCATCTTGCAATTTGTAGGCTGTGCTTAACCAGATCAAGTATTGACTAAGCAGACGGATTTGCTCCTTTAGTTGGTTTTTAAACTTGGTTAGCTTTCTGTGGCTTCACATGTACAAATCCAAGTCATTTGGTTGGTGGCTCAGTGTATTATGTGAACCGTGAAAATGAGCCAAAAGAGAAATCAGGTTGTGAATACTGTCTTTGTGACCACATGAAGGAAGTGAATGGAAGGTTTCTAAAATAATAACAAAAAGAGTATTTCATATTAAAGCATGACTAACTTTGGAGGTTTAACTTTTCAGTGTGCAGGGATGATGTAGATAACTTGAAAAACTAGTGGAAAGGGTGTGAAACAGCGTCACACCGGGTTTTTCTTATTTTCTGATATTCTTTTGTGAGAAGTGGAGGAGAATTGCCTTTTCTTTTAAGCTGTCTTTACATTACAGCTTTCTCATGTTTCTTGCCTTGAAAGAATAAGAAAATACTATGCTACCAATTTTCAACAATCCATAGAATGATAGAACTGTGAGGTTTGAAGGGAGCACAAGGGTCATCTACTTCAACCCTTCATAATGTGCAGGAAAACCAGTTAAACCACCCATGAGAGGTGACTGTCCAGCTTTTTAAAAAACTTACTTTTTGCCATCAAACTTTGGCAGCATGGATGGAGGTTAGAAAACACCTTTGAGGATTGCATGTGGTTCTTGGATTGGGGATTGCTAACTATAGCTAGACAGTTTGAATATAACTTCACTGAATTTGGGGTTTAAATTCTGCCTGTAGGCTCACCCAATCAATTATATATCAAGTTATCCAAGATAGTAATAAAGAGTTTTCATAATTCATGGCAAAGAAGGCATGAAACACCAAGCATCCTTGGTGGCATTCCTCTTAAGTTTCTGCTACATGTTCTGGGCAAAATAGCTGGGTTTCACAAAACATCAAACAAAGCTAAAATGGGTTGCATGCTCCAGACATCACATTAGTCCTGCTTGGACTATTGCAGTGTGCTCTACACGGGGCTAACTTGAAGATCATCTGGAAGCTACAGTTGGCCCAGGATGCAGTGATGTGAGTAGTTATAGATACAACATCAAGATATGTCTCTCTAACACCACAACATAATGAGCTGCACTGGTTTCCTATAGTTTTCTGAGTGCAATTCAGGGTGCTGGTTACCATTTATAAAATCCTTCATGGCACAGGGCTGAGGTTTTTGCAGGACTGCCCGCCTCCAACTGAATCTACCCATCTCACAAGATCTGACAAGGTGGGCGTGGTTCAGCTACTCTCTACAAAACGATATCACCTGGTGGAACTCAAGTGGATAGTCTTCTTTGTTGTGATACCTGCCCTTTGGAACAAGATTTGGATGGTCTTAAATCTGTTGGCTTTCTGTAAGTCCTTGAAAACCTGGTTTTTCCCCCAAGCACGGGGCAGGGCATCAGATAAAACCATCCTGAAATGGTTCTGAGAATACTAATATGATTCCAGTTTGGCCTCAGTTGTGTTGTATTGCATTGTATTTTTGTGGTGTTTGTGTTTACTAGCTGTTTTGTTTTATGTTCAGCTGCCCAGAGTTGCAAGCTGGTTTGTTTTGGTCATGAAATATCAATATAGCAATTGCGTTCTGTGAACTACCAATGAATCCGGCAGAATTCAGTGCTCTTGTGTTATACATATGTTTTCTCATAGAAGGTACAAAAAAGCAGATCTAAATGGGGTTAGGGACGGAAGCAATGGAATGGCCATGTTATGATTGGTTGGTTGGTTGGTTGGTTGGTTGGTTATGTGTCATCAAGTCAGTGTTGACTCTTAGTGGCCACATAGATAGATTTTTCTCCAGGTCAATCTGTCCCCAACTTGATCCTTCAAGTCTTCCAACAGTGCACCAATTGCCACTGTAATCAGATCTGTTCATCTTTGTCTTCTCTTTCCTTCCAACTTTCCCAAGCATTAGAGCCTTCTCCAAGGAGCTACTCTTCACATAAGGTGTTCAAAGTATGACAATTTGAGCCTGGTTATTTGTGTCTTTAGTGAGAACTCTGGGCTGATTTGTTCTATGATTAATTTATTTGTTTTCTTGGCTATCCATAGTATTCACAAGAGTCTTCTTCAAACCCAGAGTTCAAAATCGTCAATACTCTTTTCTCTCCTACTTTCTCAAAGTCCAACTTTC